GGCACCATCTGTGTGATCATCTTTGGAGCCTGCTGGGGGGGAGGGGCTCGGATGCCTGGTTCCCTGCACTTGGACTGAGGCATGTCTGCATGGAAACTTCTGCCTAGAAACACATATAGCCAGTTGCTGCAAAGACACTGAGGGTCCTGGGAGACTGTACCTACCGCCACACCCCCTCGAAAGATCCCCTCGTCTCAAGTTTGCTTTAACTTCCTGCATTTTTTTCCTTTTTAGTTTTGGCTCTTGGTGCCGCTAAGAGCCTGCACTTCCTGCCAGCTGGTTGGTTACCGCAGGGAAAATGAGGGACTTTTGGGGGCAGATGTGTTTCCATTCCACTATCATAATGCCCCTAAAAATCCTTATTGCTCTTGCAGTATTCCTCGGGGTCCCTGGGCCAGAGCTGCCAACAGCTCACAGAAGAGAAAGCGTTCCCTGAACCCTCTGCCCCAGCTCGTCAGGTTCTGGGGGTGGATCTCTCCTTGCCGTGCACAAGACCCGTGGAAAATAAAAAGATGCCGTGTGAGGCCGCTTGCCAGCTTGCCATGCTTTTTACCCTCCACGCAAGGGTAAAATGATGGCACTCAGGCCTGGGAAAAGGCTGGCTGTGGCTGCAGTCCGTCTGTCCGCCTTAGCTCCTGGGAATGCAGGGAGGCTGCAAAAGTGGGGAGAAACAAGAGTTACCAGTCTGACAGGCCTGGTCCCTCCAGGGCTTCTAGGATCTTCACTGGGTGGGAGGGGGGCGGGAAGTCCTTGCCTGCCAGCTCCCTCCCAGAAACAGGACACTTTCCCCACTCTGCCTCAGTTTCATCTCGCCTGTACGCCCTGCACTAGCCTCAGAGTTCTTGGACGAAGCCAAGGGTGTAATGAGATCAAAGACTCTGAAGGTGCTTGAAGGAATGGGGAGGCCAGTGCCTTCAGTATTAATCAGTACTGCCACTAGTGCTTACTAATACATGCAGATGACTCAGGCCAGGGGTTAGAGTTCAGCTGCAAGCCTGGGTTTCTAGAAGTAGCCTATCTGCTTAGCCATATCCTGTGTAAGCACTGGGATTCTCTGACTGTCACTGCAGGGAAATTACTCAACCCATCTGGCCCCCATTACCTCACACCTGAAACCCATGGCTTAGAGTAGAAGTTTCTCCGAGTCTCTTAAACATATCTACCAGGTGACTTAAGTGAATCGTGTCTAAAGTTATGAATTGTACTAGTAGGCATTTCCTTGCGCAGTAAATGTTTAGTTATGGCTGGTTGCTTTCCACTTAGGGTGGGGATATTTCACATGCACTTCTTTTTTTAATGAGAGGGTTCTTTTTCTCACCACGTCCCCCCCTTTGAGAAAGGGTCTCACTATGTGTCAGTGGTTGGCCTGGAGCTTGATATAGTTAGTGACCAGACTTGGCTCATACAGCGATCTGTCTACCTCTGCCTCCTTGGCTGGAGTAGGTTTCTTGAAAGAAAGCTATGAAGCAAGTGTGCCGAGGCCAAGAGGCAGAATCCAGCACTATGGTCTGTAAGGTATCCTAGGTCAACTTTTAAAACTCCTGTTTCCTAGGTGGTCCCTACTTGATTGGTGTGAGCAATGGTGAGGGTACAGAGCTAGCTAACATCCAGCTATGACATGGCTGGGTGTTCTGTGACCCACATAGTGAGGTAGAGCCATGTTCCAGGCTCCCCATCCCCAGAGGCCAGTCCATGCAATCTTATCTGTGGCTCTGGTTTGTGTCACTCTGGGTGACTCTCTGCCTCCTTCCTGGTTTTCTCTGGCAAACGGGAGACTCAGACCTCTGCGATAGGCCACCGGGTGGTTAAGGAGCCACCACACAGAGCTTTCGTGGATAGGGCACCAGGGGCACCACACTGATTTTGGCCTTGAAAGGTGCCAAGCTCCCAGCCAATGCCCCCAGGGAGGTGGGGAGGGAAACAGGAGGACCCAGCAAGGGGCCAGCTCTGGTTACACTTTATGCTGTGTCATGGGGTGGGGGTGCCAGAGAGGGCTGGCAGGCCAGCTGGGGCAGGTACAGTTGCCAGAGCACTCTCTGCCCTCACCCTACAAGTCCACCAGGATAGGACAGGGCTCTAGAGGCACCCCTTATGTACCTTTCCACCTACACATTGCGGGGATTTTTTTAAGACAGGGTTTCACACTGTAGCCTAGATTGGGCTTGAACTTGCAGAAAGCCCCGTGCTTTGGCCTCTGTAGGCATGGCCTACAGCACCATGCCTTGTTACTAAAACAAGCTTGTGTGTCTCTCTGTCTCTGTCTCTGTCTGTCTCTATCTCTGTCTCTCTCTCTGTCTCTGTCTCTCTCTGTTTCTGTCTCTCTCTGTCTCTCTCTCTCTCTGTCCCCCCCCCACTCTACACTTTTTTTTAAGGCAGGGTCTGTCACTAAACCTAGAGATCACTAATCAAGTGAGGCTGTCTGGCTAGCAAGCTCCAGGGATTCTCCTGTCTTCATGGGGGTTATGAAGATGCAGCCTCCCTCCAGGTTGGTTTCTGTGGGTCCTGGAGTCGAACTTAGGTCCTTGTGCTTGCCTGGCAAGGCACATTACCAACTTTGTCCCTGCCCACAGCCCAAAGGCACAATTGTAAGCTACATGGACTTGACTTTAGAGGTTGTGACTGCTGGTTCTGGATCAAGTTGTATACCTCCCTGCTCGCTCCCTCCCTCCCTCCCTTTCTCTGCTGAGGGCCAACCATGCCAGGCACAGTGCCAGGTTCTGGGGGGAGGTTCAAGGCTGTGTGAGGTGCAGTCCTTACATTCACAGGTGTCTCACTCGAAGGGGACAAGATGGAAGGAAAAGCTAAGAAGTAGATTCCCTGTGTGAAAGCAAACTAACACGGCTTGCTGAATACTCAGGGTTCAAGAACGGTCATATGTGCAGCCATTTCGGTGACATGGAGACCAAGGGAGCGCCGGGTGTGGTTATTGCTCTTGCCATCCTAGCACTTAGGCGGCAGAAACAGGAGGATTGATTGTCCTTGAGTTCAAGGCCAGTTTGCTCTAGGTAGCAAATTCCTGGCCCACTGGGACATAGTGAGAGCCTGTCTCAAACAAACAAACCCAGTAACAGCAAAAAGTATCTGACTGTTCTTATTTGAATTTGGGCTCTCCTAGGGACTGGTTTTACAGTCTCTAGCGTGTGACAATGCTTTGTTCCTTAGTTTTCCCGTCTGTAGACAGACACAGGGCAGCAATGGGAATGAGATAAATGTCAGTACAGACCCAGAAACAACACTGGGCAGTAAGGCATGCTGTGTGGGCCTGGCTATTAGCTATTATGTCATATGCACAAATCATCATAAGAAGTCAGATCCTGCCAGCCATCAGGCAGAGGGATGACATCGGGACATTACAGAGTCTCTTCCCATGATGAACATTATTACGCAAGAGCCTCTCTACCTCTCAGGGGGGGCCTCATCAACTGGAGGATGAGATGGGGGCTCAGACCTCTGCAGAGATGTGCTGGTAGCTACATACCTGGCAGACAAGTCATTTGAGCCTAGATTTGGGCTGGTTCCCAAAGCCTGGGGTCCACACTTGGGTCAGCCTTGAAGTGTTGTTACCTTGAACTTAATGATTTTTGAACCAGGGGCCTACATTACATTTTTATTTTGCAAGCTATTCTGTGCTGCCTTGCTCTGGCAGACTTCAAAAACGGTCACTCTTCTGTTATTAGTAGTTTGTACATCGGGGCCAAGGGTAATTTTTCAATTCATCAATCCAGTGTTTGGTGCATTTTGTTGATTTACTTTTTGAAACAGTCTTTAGTTGAGGCTGGCGTGGAACTCATTAGGAAGCCAAAGCTGGACTTGAACTTCTGGTCTGCCTGCCTGGATCCCCTTCCTGAGTGCTGGGGTTATAGGTCACACTCAAGTTTTGTGCCATGCTGGGCCTTGAACCAGGACATCTCTATACAGGCTGGGCAAGCATTCTAACAGCTAAGCTCCATTCCCCAGTTCTAAGTGTAACGCTCCACGAGAAGATGACATTCACTTTAGGATGGAATAACCATAAATGTGGCTGCCTGCCTCTCTCTCACAGGCAGGGTGGCCGCTGAGGGCAGGGCAGGCCCCTTCTCCACTGAAGCTTCAGACCCCAGCACAGATAGCTCCTCAGTGGATCATAGGCTACTCTTACTCCTGACTCGAACCTACCTAAGCAACTGACCTCTGCCAGGGAAGCAATGTCAGTTCCTGCCATCCTGCTTGGCTTCTGGAAGCTCTGTGAGAGTGGAGACTGAGATCCTCCCCCTGGCCCCAAGCCTGCCCCAACACCAACACTATTCAATGGTTTGGTGTCTAACAGACTCTGTGGGGTTCAAAGGCAACACAGATTTAAAGGTCTATAGGCTGGGTCTGTGAAGCCTGTCTCAGGGAAAGAAGCTAAATACAGCTTGGAGACACTCAGATTTCCTTTTGGAGTGGGTGTGAGACCCGGCAGGAGGCCACAGGTCAGGGTTTCTGGACTGTAAAATGAGACAGTGTAGAGACTAAGTCACCTCTCCAGAGGCTGAAGCAGGAAGATGTCGAGATCCAGGCTAGCCTTGGCCACCCAATGAGACCCTGTCTCAAAAGACACCATACACGATGGTGTGTGCCTGTAACCTCAGCACCCGGGAGGACAGAATGGGACTTTAACAGCTTTATTGAGTGACCCACTACTAAGCATGAAAACAGTCACATTGAAAATGTGACAGTCAGTGCCTTCGGGTGTGTTCAGTGTCATGTCATGCAGCCATCGTCAACAGGAACTTCAGAACCTTCCCATTACCTGTCTGTCATCCTGTCCCCCAATCCTCATCAATCACTACTTTCTGGCCATTTCACACATGGAATCTTTCCGTCTGTGGTGACCTCAAAGTACAGCCATGTTGTAGTCTCAGGATGGACTCCCTCCCTCTCTCCCTCCCTCCCTCTCTCCCTCCCTCCCTCCCTCCCTCCCTCCCTCTCTCCCTCCCTCCCTGTCCCTCTCTCCCTTTCTCCCTTCTTTCCCTCCCTCCCTTTCCCTTCCCTGCTCTCCTCTGCCCTCCCCTTCTTCCTTCCCCTCCCTTCCTCCCTTGCTTCTATCCTTTTCCTTGTATATTTTAATCTTTTGGTGTTTGAAGGTAGCTTTGAACTGATCCTGCTGCTCCTACTTTCCGAGTTGCAAGTGTTATAAGCTTGTGCCAGCACACCCAGCTTAAGACTTCATTTCCTTCTGTGAGGATTGTTCCATTCCATGGATGGCTACCTGTTGCTTGTCCACTTGTCAGATGATAGGCATCGGTTGTTTCCATTTGTGGCTATCATGAACAATACAGCTGTGAGTGTTCATGTATGCTTTTGTGTGAACGTACATCTTATTTTCTCTTGGGTGTGTTGCTAGGAACAGAGTTGCAGATACCCATTGTCCAGGTGCCCCAGTGGCAGGCCTTAGCTGGTTTTCTCTGTCCTTCCTCATTTCCTTTGTTTTCCTCTGACTATGTTGCCTCTTGGCGAGTGTTTTCTTACTCTCTTTTTGGCGTGTGTGAGCGTGTGTGTGTGTGTGTGTGTGTGTGTGTGTGTGTGTACACATGTGTATGCAGGTGCCCACGGAGGCCAGAAGGAAGTAGAGAATTTCCCTGGAGCTGCAGTTATAGACACTGGTGAGCTGCCCAATGCAGGTACTGGGATCTGACTCCTCCCTAGAGAGCGCAAGCGTTCTCAGTCAGCGAGTCTTCTCTCCGCCCCTTCTTCTTGGTCGTGTGTGCACACATGTGGCTGTGGGCTTATGCGTGCACAGTGCACGTGTGGCAGTCTGAGGACAGCAGCTCCCATGGGTCTTTACATGCCTTTTGCCTCTCCTTTGAGAGACTCTCCTTGGTCTGGAACTTTATCGAGCTGAGCCAGGCTACCTGGTCTGAGAGCTTCCAGGGATCCGCCTGTCTTTGCCTCCTAGCTCATCATTGTGGGCTACGGGTGCACACCACCACACTCATCTTTTCCCATGAGTCCTAGGGCTCCAAACTCAGAGCCTCATGTTTGCAAGGCACAATCTTTACTGACAGCCATCTCTCCAGCCCTAACATTTCAACATTTCCCTTTGTCTCAAACTCTCAGTGGATGGAATTTGGACAGGATAGGGAAACTGAACAGAATCTGGAGTAGGGCAGTGTAGCATGGGATTCAGAGTGAAATCACCACTTTAGAGTCCCTTTTTCAAAAATGGTGGAGTCTGAACTGCAATGGCAGAGCCAGCAAGGTCCCTAAGTGACTACACAGAGTGTGAGCAGAACAAGAAGATGCAGTAGACGCAACAATTTAAACCAGTGGGTACCCAGGAGACACAAAAACAAACCTCACCCTATCCCTGGAGTGGTTCCAATGACTGTTGGGTGCTCTCCAGTATGCATGTCAAGATCCAAACCCATAGCATTGGAATCTCACAAAGTAAGATGACCCATCCAACCCGTAGACTCTAAGAACTTGAAAAACAATCATTTGTTTGAGGCCTTCTCCCCAAGAATCACAGTTGTTTGATTTGGCCACAACATTTAGTTCTAGCTTCTGAGTGGGCTCAGATGCTCCAGCTGGTGGCAGGGCCACACTCTTAGGAACACAGGCACATAGGGATCAGACAGCCAGAGCTACAGCAGATCCAGAAGCAGGTGGTCACGGTGGACACCGGCAGCCAGATGTGGTAGCCGATACCTCCCAGTTCAGAACAGATGGTCATCATCTTTCTCCAGGGCTAGCCTCTTCCAGTCCACAAACCTCATTCCCCATGCTCACCTAGACTCCTGGCCCCAGGACTCATTATCACCTCCTCTCAATACTTTGGGATACAGAGCCTCCAAAGCGTTGGGGAAATGTGTCAGGTCCTTTGTCACGAAGGGACATTCAGGCTGGCTGTGGTGGCTAAGGAGTCAGCCAGGAATTCAGAGCAGATGGGTGGCTGGGGCGTATTTGTTTGTTAAATGTGATACATAAGGTCCTACAGACTGGGCACACACTGAGTCGTAGCCACACGACAGCTGTAGTCCCTTCCTGATGCCACCCCAGCCCAACAGGCATGTGGTAAAGAGATTGGTATATTATACTCTTCCAACCGGGATGCAAAATGAACTGCTTCCTATCCCTCCCCCTTTCCCTCCCTCCAAGTCCTCCGTCCCTTCTCACATCTCAGCCATCTAAGTGCTGAGGTTGTGGGCATTTGCTACCACACCTGGCCAGAAGTGATTTTTAATGTATCGTCCAATGTTTTTTTAATTATCCTGGATATGTAAGAAAATGTAATGTTTATGGTTTAAAAAAAAGAAAATAAAAAAGCTAGTACAAAAGAGAATGGAGGGACCAGTGAGAGAGCTCAGTGGATGAAGCTCCTGTCACCAGGTGGACCACTCGGGAGGTGCGAGGAAGAGTGCTGCCCCCCACAGGATGTCTTCTGACCTCCTCATGTGTGTTGTGATGTGTGCCAGCAGCACACGCATGTGTACACTCACACGTGCACATGCAAAGTCCAGCCTCACCTTCTGAGGAGTAACCGCCATGCTGGAGAGATGGTTCAGTTGGAAAAGCCTGAGGACCCAAGTTCAGTTCCCGGGGCTCAGGCAAACAGCCGGGTGTGTGGTGCATGCCTGCAAACCCAGCCTGGGAGAGGCAGAAGCTTGCTGGCCAGCCAGTCTAGTCTGATCGGAGAGTCCAGGTCGGTGAGAGATCCTGTCTCCAAAGAGCAAGATAGTCAGTACTCGAGGAACACCCAAAGTTGTCCTCTGGCCTGCACACATACACATCTGCACACAGAGGAAGTACCACCACAAGTACCCTGGAGAATCGGTCCTCAAGGCCAGTCTATTCCAGTACCAACCAGCACCCCCACCATATTTAATGTCCCCTACTGGCCAACGTTCATGTTAAGTTCGGAACTTGGCTGTGATAACACACACCTTCCTTGGTGCAAGTGCTTTTAGCATAAACCGGAGAAGTGGAATGTCTCCATCACAAGGGCTGTTCCCTTTTAAATCTGCATCGATTCCCTGGTGCCCTTCAGAAAGGTGGTATGACCACTCTTCAGTAGAGATGCAGTATTCTCAGTGAGGTAAGTAGACTTTAAGAGTGGCCCGGGTGGCCGGGTGGCCGGGTGGCCGGGTGGCCGGGTGGCCAGGGTAGCCATCCAGCAATCTTGGGAGTCTAGGTTATGTAAACAAAGGCAGCGTTTGAGGAGAAACTCCGTGAGTAGCATTGTGTCAGCCAGTGTTTATTTCCTTAGTGTGGTTAGGACTTAAATATGGTCAAAACATATTCTTCTTTTTAATTTTACACAAACAAATATGTTCCCAGGCTGACACCTCCGATGCCAAGTTTCTAGGGGAAACGAAATTCTGCTGCAAAGATAGCAAGCCGCAGAGAGCCACTGAGGACAGAAGCGCCATGGAGTGTGGGACGTCCCACCCGGCACCACACTGCCCAGCACTCAGGTAAAGTTGCCAGGAACCTCAGTGGGATGTAGCAAAGCCAAGGTTGGAAAACGCTTGGTCTAAAGAGTTTGCCTCAGCTTGATAAGCCATCCTGCTGCTGCCAGTCAAGTGTGCTTCTACGGGGGCTGGAGGGAACGGGCATGTCTTCACCTTTCTGCCCTTCACATTCATGTAATAATCAAATAGCCTGAAGCTGGTCCAGGGGAGTGATGGGGAAAGTCCTTCTGTGTATATGTTTGTCTTATCGGTTGATGAATAAAGCACTGTTGGCCAGTAGGGAAGCAAGATAGGTGGGACTAGTAGTCAAGGAGGTTTCTGGGAAATGTAGTCAAGAGTAGAGGGTTGCCATGTGATCCCGGGAAGAGAGGATGCATGAGGCTGGCATCCTCGGTAAGATAAAACCTTATAGAAATATAGATATTGGTAGTTATGGGTTAATACTTAAGACAGAACTAGCCAATGAGAAGCTCTGGACATTGGCCGACAACATTGTAACTAATAGAGTTCCTGTGTGTTATTTGGGGTTGACACAGCTCAGGGACCAGGCTGGCTGGAAGAATGCTCCTTACAGGGGAGTAAAGCAACATGTTATTTGCAGTGATTGCTTAATTTATTGAGCAGCTACTGGACCTGTAATGAAGTAAAGTCCTCATAGCCCACAGTTTTCACTGTCTTCGCTCCTCTGTAATGAAGGGTATTTTCCACGAGTTTCTCTGGGATTTTTGCTATTTATCTGTTAAGTGTGTCACGTTGATGTTGATAATAGACTTAAGCATTTTATGGGGACTCATGTGCCCCCAAGCTTTATATACATGATCTAATCCACACGATTCCCCCACTGGAATAACTCACCAGTCCCTGTTTTATAGATGTGCAAGCATAGTAAGTGAGGAGTTTTCCAGAGAGGGGCTGTCCAAAATGGTGGCTGCTGCCATTTGTGGTGATTTGGGTTTACATTAGGTATATTTAAGTACATTTAGCCAAGTGTGGTACTGCAGGCCTGTATCCAAACACTCAGGAAGCTGAGGCAAGAGGATTGATGATTTGAAGACAGCTTGGGCTACATAGTGAGTTACAGGCCAGCCTGGAATACAGAGTGAGATCCTGTCTCTAAAACAAAAATTTTATATGGATTCCCTAGGGTGTCCTAGCATCAATTCAAATGCTCAGTGTCCCAAGTGGACTCACAAATCTCAATCCCTGCGATGGGCAGAGAAACATCTGGAGCTTATGGCAGGCCCAGAGACTTCACAGCTGGAATGAGCCAGCCAGTGCTGAGACCAAACAAATGGCCTTGTCCTTCCTTCTCTGCTGAGACATCACAGCTCTGACCACAGGGTCTCATGTAGATCAGACTGGCCTCAGACTCACTCTGCAGCCAAGAATGACTTTGAGCTTCTATGTACATATGTACACATGTTCCCATGTGTTTGTTTATATGGTTGTGCATGCATGCACACTGGTGTACACACACACACACCTGAGGTTGATGGCTGTTGTCCACCTTATATACAGGCTGCTGGTTTGGCTGGTCGGCTTGCCCTGGGGATCCCCTGACTGTGCCTCCCAAGTACTGGAATGACAGGTGACCTGTAATTTTAAACCATGGGTTCCGGGAGTGAAAACTTAGACCTTTGTGCTTTGTAGCACACACTTTATACACCAAGTCATTTCAGCAGTACCAACCTTGAACTTTTGAGCCTCTGCCTCCTAAGTGGGATCAGCACTGGGGCAGATCCAGGCCTCATGCACACTAACGGGACCACACCCCAGCCCCACACTGACACTGTGTATGGAAGTGTTCCCCTCGGCAAACACAAGCTAAGTGTGCACTATTTTGTGATCTCTGATGAAACGGTAGTTGAGACAGTGACCTGGAGAAGGGAAGTCAGATGTCACCTTTGAATGGGATGTGAAACCACCCTTGGGAAATAATCCTACTAAAATAAATAAAACGCATATCTAAAGGAGCTTCCAAATCTGAGTACCACTGTGCAAGAAATATGGGAGTCCAACATGTGCCACACCTTTGTGAGGTCAAAAATAAGCCAAGTCCAGACTCCAGCTAACCATAAGATGGTTCAAGTGCTTCAACAGACCAATGAGTGAACTGTATGTAAATTAGGGCAGAAGTAACCAGCATGACCTGTTGTGACATTTGAGCTTTCTCTGGATTCTGATTTCATGCAAATGTGAAGAAGGCACTGGAGGCCCCGGAAACTTTGGGGAACCATATTTTCACTGACATTAAAACATTAATTACTGACCGTTTTCAAGGGTGATGGTGGCAAGGCATTTTTTTTCCTGTTGGAGTCTGATATATACTGATGTCTATGTTTGCTTCAAGACAATCTGGATGCTATATATACATGGAACAAGACTATCAAATTCATCCTATAGTCTCACTCCTATGTGCATGCTTGAAGCTTTTGAGACTAGCGGTAAAGCACTTGCTTGCTGCACGAGCATTAGGAGCTGTGCTTGGATCCCCAGCATAATTGGAAAAAGCCATGCATTGTAACATGCACCTGTGACATCAGTGCATGGCCTAAGAGGCAGGAGGCTCCCTGGGCTCACTGGCCAGCCAGTCTAGCTGAATTAGCAAACTCAGGCTCATTGGGAGTCCCTGCCTCAAAAAATAGGATGGTGATTAAGGAAGACATCCAAAATGTACCTCTGGTCTCCACAAGCATTCACATCTATACCTACCATCCACAAAGAAGGGGAAAAGGGGAGAAATTACTTTTTCCTGACCTCTCAAGGATATCAGATTGGTTCCTATATTAGTTAGGGTTCTTCAGATATATATATGTATATATATATTTCTGTTAGATGTATTTAATTACATACAATAATTATGCATACACACACACACACACACACATAAAGGGAATTTACTAGAATGGCTTACAGGCTGTGGTTCAGCTAGTCCAACCATGGCTGTTTACCAAGAAGGTCCAGCAGTTGTTCAATCTGTGAGGCTGGTATCTCCTCTGATCCTAAGTAGACTCTGGAATCCAGAAGTAGGCTCTAATGCCAGTGAAAGGATGGACTTGCTGGTAAGAGCGAGAATAAGGAGAGTAAGAAGGCAAAGGGCAAGCCAACTTCCTTCTTCCATGTCCTTCATTCAGACCTCCTGCAGAAGGTGTAGACCAGATTAAAGGTGGATCTTCCCACTTCAAATGATTTAATTAAGAAAAAATCCCACTTGCTCAGGTCAGCTGTTTACGTGGGTTTCTCCAGCATGGTCTTGACCCCTTTGCTCATCACTCCTCTCTCTCTACAACTGGATTCCAGGAGTTCGACTCATTGTTTAGCTGTGTGTGTCTGCTTCTGCTTCCATCAGCCACTGGATGAAGGCTCTAGGATGGCATATAAGGTAGTCATCAATCTCATTACTGGGGAAGGACATTTAAGGTAGCCTCTCCCCTATTGCTTAGATTCTAAGTTGGGGTCATCCTTGTGGATTTCTGGACATTTCCCTAGTGCCAGATTTCTCTTTAAACCTACAATGGCTCCCTCTATTATGGTATCTCTTTTCTTGCTCTCCTCTATTCTTCCCCGACTGGATCTTCCTGATCCCTCATGTTTAGCTCCCCCCTCCCCTTCCTCCCTACTCTTTCTCCTCCCTCCCTCCCTCCCTCCTTCCCTCCCTCCCTCCCTCCCTCCCTCCCTCCTTCCTCTCCCAATGCTCCCAATTTGTTCAGGAGATCTTGTCCCTTTCCCCTTCTCTGGGGGGCCATGTATGTCTCTCTTAGGGTCCTCCTTGTTCCCTAGCTTCTCTAGAGGTGTGGATTGTAGGCTGATAATCCTTTGCTCTATGTCTAATATCCATATATGAGTGTGTACATACCATGATTGTCTTTCTGTGACTGGGTTACCTCACTTAGGATGGCTTCTTCTAGTTCCATGCATTTACCTCCGAATTTCAAGATTTAGTCTGACACCTAGGAAACCAGCATAGGACCAAACCGTGCCCCCTGAACATGGGTGTCAGTTAGGAGGCCTGGGTAGTCTATGGAGCCTCTGGCAGTGGAACCAGTATTTATCCTTAGTGCATGAATGGACTTTGGGAACCCATTCCCCCATGGAGGAATACTCTCTCAGCCTAAATACGTGGGGGAGAGCCTAGGCCCTGCCCTAAATGATGTGACAGACTTTGATGATCCCCCATGGAAGGCCTCACTCTCCTTGGGGAATAGATGGGGATGGGATGGGGGGCTGATGGGGGGCAAGGGAGGATGGGAGAGAGAGGGAACTGGGATTGATTTGTAAAATAAGATTGTTTCTCATTTTTAAAAAAAGAGAAGAGATGTGACTGTACTTAGAGATGCATGGCTATGCAGCAGAGAGATAGATGCATGTATGTAAAAAAAGATATGTACTTGTGTGTAAACAATGTAGCTGCTTGGAGACAGAGATTTTTCAGATTGAGATCTTTCAGCAAAAGGGAAAATTATCATCAAAAAAGAAAAAAAGAGAAAAATCCGTCACAGGTGTTTTCAGCCACTTGGGATTTAGTTAATTCCAGGTGTAGTCAAGTTGACAACCAAGCACAGCCACCACAGTTCCCCACTCCACTACTGCATCTCCAGGTTGAGCCTGGGGAGCAGGTTTAGGTTACATCTTCAAGAATCCTGCCTCATCTCCATGGCAACTAGTAAGGACCAGCATTCAGAAGCCACCTTGCTACACTAGGGTCATGCCAGGCTGCCAGCATCATATCAGGACATGATGTAACTCTCTTTGGAGCTTCCCCTAGATAGATTTCCACCCTACTTGCCACACCCTTCTCTCTCTGGACCTTCCTGCATAGTCACCAAGGAAGGAGTGAGCAGTTGGGGTGGGGCAGTCCCCAAATCATGTGAGTTCCAATTCTGACCCTGCCACTTCATGTCAGGACCTCTTACCTTTCTGGACCTCTTCTGTAAAGTGAATAGAATATAAAGGGCCAGATCAGGACTCAGAGCTCATGCAAAGTAACACATCTGTAACCCCAATGCCCCTCCAGGGAAAATGGGAGGCAGAGAGCTAGCTAGCTGGTGTACCCAGAAGAAGACAAAAGAACCCCTGTCTCAAACAAGGTGAAAGGTAAGGACTGACACCCAAGGTTGTCTTCTTATCTCCACTTATACAACATGGCATTTGCTCATCTCTGTCTCTCTGTCTCTTTGTCTCTGTCTCTGTCTCTGTCTCTGTCTCTGTCTCTCTCTCTCTCTCTGTGTGTGTGTGTGTGTGTGTGTGTGTGTGTGTGTGTGTGCGTGTGTGTTTGCCAGGGATTCATGTAGCCCATTCTGGCTTTGACAGTGCTCTGCAGCCAAGGCTGACCTCCAGATCCTACTTCAGCCTCCCAAATGCTGGTATTATAAGCATGAGACACACACCTAGCTAGAAGTTAGCTTCACTACGTCCTGTCCTAGAGCAAGATGATGGGCATGCCTGCTCATCTTGGGTTTGGGGTCCTGGGAAATTCAGGTGGTAAAGCAGAAAAGCCTGGCTATCTCCTGCTCTGCTCACAGTCAATCCCACAGACAGGGACAAGGCTAAAGGTGTTTTCTAAGAAGCAAACTCCAGGGATGAAGCCAATTGAGATCAATTTACAAGATGCCTTTGAATTTGGGGGCTTCATGTGTGTGAGGCCCATGGACTACCCATGTGTCACCTCCATGGCCCCTCAAATTGGTCTGTTATTGCCCAATAGCTAAAGTGCTCTCCCTGACTCAGTTTACCAACCAAGTAAGTTCTCATTTTCCCCATTATTTTAGGACAATCTAGAAACTTTGCAGGTCTGGGGCTTGGGCCTTGTTCCCTTGAGACTCAAACAGGGTGAGAATCACCTTGCACACATATCCTTTGATTCCTAGCACCCCTCCCATTCCTTCCAGTATCAGCACAGTTCTAACCAGAGATCTGTTGGTCTGATCTCCTAGTTATCAACCTCTTGGGACTGGGGAGATGGCCCAGCTGGCAAAGTGCTCGCCACTCAAGTGCAAGGACCTAAATTCAAGCCCTAGTAACATATAAAAGCTAAGCATGATGGAACACTCACAATCCCATTGCTAGAGAGGTAGAGAGACAGGTGCCTGGGGCTCCCTGGCCAGCCAAGCTAGACTAATCAGTAAGTCCCAAGCCCCCATTGAGAGAACCTGTCTCAAAAAGTCGGGTAGATAGCTTCTGGGAAATGACAATTGTTCCTGGCCTCTGGCTTATACACACACACACACACTCTCTCTCTCTCTCTCTCTCTCTATATATATATATATATATATATATATATATATATATACACATGCACATATACACATATTAGTTGGGCAGTCTCCCCCAGCCATGTCAACCATGTCCCCCAGACTGTCAATCCAAGGGGCCGACAAGTCTCTGGTACTCACTTCTGCTTTACAGCTCCTGGATGGTGACATGTGGATGACACTCTATAGTCATCGAATGGTCCCACCACTGCTGCTCCCTCTGAAGTCAGAGAAACCCTCCATACCCACCAGGCTCTCCCGTCCTCATTTCTGTCTGGCAAGTCACTCTGATGTCTCAAGATGGAAGATGATCCCCAAGAAAAGACATGATCTGGCAGGAGAAAAGACGGCATCTGGGGTCTGATTTTTCTTCCATGATTGTACCTGCCCTGGGTACCTCTCTTAGTTACATTGAAATCCATACCACAGCACTCACTTGGTGTTTGGGGGACCGTGAGCCTCAAAGTTAGAGTTAAGGTAGCTCTCTGGCTCTTGCAGTAATCAACTCTGAAAGCATTTGTTCCTTGCTTTGCCGCCAATAATAGAATTCCCAGCCCCATCACTTGCTTGCTAGCTAATTCCCTTCTCATTATTTTTGTTCCCCTTTCCTCAGATGGATTCCTGAGTTCTTCCAGATTGCTCATTGCTAAACTATCAAGTTCCAGCTTCTGCAGCCTTACTGCTCATTGGCAGGGAGTTCCTGGGCTGCTCCAATCAGAAAGAGGCTGCAGAGAAAAGGCACTCACCCTGGGAGCTGGGACTTTTCTAACAGTTAACATCGTACAAAGGTCTTTGTCTAGCTCTGTGGAATTTGCTCTACTCTTGAATGGACTGAGGAAAGATGCAGAGGTTCTAGAATGCGCTCCCCACCCCCAAGATGAGGGACCATGGAGGGACAGCGTAGCCTCCCACCCTGGAGCAGGAGAGACAACTCAAGAGACCATCAGTATTAATCTGCCCAAACCACCTCCCAGTCTGGCCAGATGACAGCAGGAGGCTGAGGACACTGAGTACTTGGAATGAGGGCTTCATTTGCAAAAGGCCTCTTAACTAAGCTGCAGTCATCCCTAGTCCCTGAGCAGCTGGGACAATATGGGCTGCCATGGGTGGCTGTAAAGGACTGTAAAATATATGGATAGAAGAGCGTTTGCCTCAGCAACCTGACTCCTAGCTTCACCAGGAACTTAATCTCTTGCCATTCAGAAGCTGCCCTGAACATCTGGAGACCATGAGACTTGGCTTTCAGAAATAATGAAGTCATGTGCCCCAGGCCTGGTGCTTGAGGTAGTCACATGGCCTAGATGGGCCAATCAGAATTTTCTGATACTTTCCTGCCGGAACTATAGGAAAAGACTTCATGCACTCCACTGGCTGTGGACTAATGTGGAAGGTGTTTGAGAAAATAGAAATCCCTGAAAGATAAGAGCCCATGAGATCCAGCTGAGGGTAAACATACCCATGCCTCACATCTAGTAGTGTGTGTGTTTTGCTAGGAAACAAGAACATATGGATTTACTACATGGTGCTTGGCTGTATATCAGGTGATTTGCATACAATCTATACAACGTTCTTGAGATCACCTAGATATTTTTTTTTTTTTTGGTTTTTCGAGACAGGGTTTCTCTGTATTGTTTTGGAGGCTGTCAGTCCAGCCTGGCCTCGAACTCACAGAGATCCACCTGCCTCTGCCTCCCGAGTGCTGGGATTAAAGGCGTGCGCCACCACCGCCCAGCTCACCTAGATATTATTACAGAGACTCCAAGAGATACAGAAGCCTTACCCAGGGGACATTGCCACTGTGTGGTCAGGAATCCCAACATTTGCTATCTAAACCTTAGCAAATTCAACTTGTGCAAAACAGTCTCCCCCCTTCCCCCCCTCCACAGCCTGATACCTTTCTTAAGACTTCCATCTGTTAGTCTAGCAGACTCACTAGAAGCCAGGTCCCATCGGGTCCCTTTCTGTCCCTCTGTAGCCCCCATGCTTCGCTGAGCCTGTCCTTCTCTGTCCCTCTGCAGTCCTGGAGCAGGGTGTTTTGTCCTATGCACTCTCCGTGTTGCCCTGGCTGCTTTCATTTCTCTCTTGGCCTTCTAGAACTGTCCCCTCCTAGGTCCCCTCCCCTGCATCCATACCTTGAGCTTGTCTTCCCACAGCACCCACAGGGTTTGTCTCAAATGCCAACCTGTTTTGTGGGTCATGCTTGAGTTTCATGATGTAAGGTCGCATGTCCACCTTTGGGAACCTCTTGAGACTTGGTCAGCCCCTGGTGGGTTTACCCAGCTCTCAGACTTTGAGCTGGAGAGCCTGGAAGCCTGTTTCCTGTATCCTGCATCCAGCATCCCATCATTTACTACGAAATGTGTCTGTTATAAAAGCTACTTCATTGTCATCTGGACACAGGGTGCCCTCTACCATTTTAAAATGCAGTGTGAGATCATCTGAACAGACACCATGGCCTTCCAAGACTGTGAGCTAAATAAAAATTTCTTCTTAAATTACCCAACTCTGAGTATTTTGTTACAGCCACAGAGAACAGACTGAGGCAGCTGGCTTCCTGTTGGGATGAGCACTTGTGAGCAGGGCACTGAGCACAGGCAGATGGAAGACATGGACAAGGTCCCAAGGTGCTCAGCGACACTTGACCAGAGTTTCAGGGTCCTGGATGACCAGATGTGCCCTAAAAGCAGGGATTTTGTGGGCACCAAGTGGGTGCATACTTTGGATCCAAAGCCCTTTGCCCTTTAGGAATCATATAGTTCTGCCCTCCTTCAAATGATGTGGCCAGAGTCTGAAGAGAGCATTGTTCACTCCCGGGATAAACTGCCAAAGCCTTGCATTTTTACCTGTGGTTGTCTTCCATCCTTGTCTGCTTTGCTTTGCCTTCCATGCTGGGTTAAACCATGTCCCATAAGCTTCCATCTGACCAAAACCTCAGCATCTGACTTCATTAGAAATAGAAGCTCGCCTGGTGGTGGTGGCGCACGCCTTTAATCCCAGGGCTTGGGAGGCAGAGGCAGGCGGATCTCTGTGAGTTTGAGGCCAGCCTGGTCTACAGAGTGAGTTCCAGGACAGTCAGGGCTACACAGAGAAAACCTGTCTCAAAAACAAAAAAGGAGAGGGGGGGGAGCTACTCTCAAAAACAAAAAAAGGAGAGAGAAGAGAGAGAGAGAGAGAGAGAGAGAGAGAGAGAGAGAGAGAGAGAGAGAGAGAGAGGATAGCATCTTAATACCTTTAAAAAAAACTTACTGGGCATGAGTGTTTTGCCATCGTGGATGGATGTGTCCCACGCCTGTTACTCTCAGAGGCCAGAAGAGGGCATTAAGTACACTGGAATTGTTGTGAGTTGGGTGCTCAGAATTGAATGTGGGTCCTCTGGGAGAGCAGCCAGTGCTCTTAACCACTGAGACATCTCTTCAGTCCCCAGAAATAGCATCTTTGTAGATGTGTCAAACAAGGCCACCCTGGACTATGGTGGGTCCTGACTCCAGTGAGTACACAAACCTTAGAAGGAGAGGAGCCAGGAGCGGTGGGTGATTCACAGTTTTAAACCAAGCACTTGGGGACAGATGCGGGTGGGTCTCTGTGAGTTCAAGGCCGGGGCTAGTGAGATCCTGTCTGAAACCAAGAAAGTGGCAGGGGGGGAGTGGGCACAGACTCACAGGTGAAGCCTGGATGGATACAGCCATAGACCAGGGAAGGCCAAGATGAAGGGAATCCCAGAAGCTGGAAAGAACTTGAAGGCCTTTCCCTGAAGCTGGCAGGGGGAGAGGGCTCTGCTTCTACCTGGGCTCTGCACATCTGAAATGCTCTGGGTTGGATTTTATTTTGAAACCACGAGGTCTGTGTAGTTTGAACAGTAGCCACAGAAGCAAATACACCTCCCTTCTTTCTCTCCAGCATCTCTCACATCTAGGGCTGCTTAGTACATAAAACCTTTTCAATTACCCAGTGGTAACAGCCCTACCCATTACAGATACAAATGGTCTCCACAGCTCAAGAAGACAAACATGTCCCCACCTGGTCATCGCAGCCTTTGGGGACCAGCACTGGCTGGGTAGGGTGAGGGGTTGTCAGGCCCTAACCCAGAACACAGGGAGTGGACCCTGCTCTGAGGGGAAGCCCCTCATGACTTTCCATTCTCAACCACACCCAGGCCCAGTGCCCCCATGGTAAGAATGTCACAAACTAAACTCCCAGCTCTAAGCTGTGATCATCACAAGTAGTAGTGTTTATGGCTTGGGTTTTGTTTCTGCTGTCATTGTTTAGTGGGCTGTTTGTTTGTTTGAGACGGTCTCACTATATAGCTCTGGGTGGCCTAGAGCTTGCCTAGAACTAGACAGGCTGGTCTCTAACTCAGAGAGATCTGCCTGCCTCGGCCTCTTACATGCTGAGACTAAAGGCGTGCCCCACAAGTCTGGCTTTGGTTTTGTTTTAACCTGACTGGAAGAGGTATTGCGAGCCATGCTAGGAACAGAGGGAAAACATACTTATAATTTTTTACACCCAAAGCCCAAGGAATTCTCTGGCCTGCCCTCTTCCCAGACCAGGATGGATGACTGAGCAACAGATCGGGGCTCTACACAAATCGAGGCATTTGAAAACCCCACGGAATAGCGTGATTTGCTGTTAACCTTGAAAGCCACTCACCTCCACCCCATTGCCAACTTCCCACTACAGCTGCCCCGGTAAAAACAGTGGTTCCCACCCAAAGGCTGCCTTCTGTGGATCTGTAGACTTTGCGTGTGATACACTCTCATTCTCACCGCTAACCCCACAAAACACATGTCACAAGACCTAGTTTGATGAAAGCAGAAATGCAGACCCCCGAGGTGTGGCCCCCAGCCCTCACACCTATGCCTCTTCTTCTGCTCACAAAAAGGTGAAGTCTGTCTCCCCACTCCTCTGCATCTCGGCCATTCTCTCAACATTTCTACTGATAGAATGCTCTAGAACGCAGGGTAAGGATGTCGGTCTTATTAAAAGATGCAAGGCCTTGTGAAGAACTACAATTTAGTCGCTAGCTTGTATCAACTGTCATTCCGAAATGGTGACGGTCACTGCGCACCCTCCAGCCAACCATAGCCACGAGCAACACCGGGTGTACTCAGTTGAGGAACCATCCAGTTGGTGCACAAAGCCATCCACGGTTGGCTGCTTTAAGCCATTCTAGTTTGGGGATTGTCTGTTATGCAGCAAAAGCCAACAAATACATTATAAAAGGCCACACACACCGGGTTCCCAACCCAGGTCTCCCACTGTTAGGATCTCAAAAGCAGAGTCTGTGTCCCCAGAGCGTGCAAAAGACGTCCAAGCAGGGAACTTGAGGAAACAGATGCCAGCACACATGGATTAGCTGGCTGGGAGAGGGAAGAGGCAGCATCCCGCATTAGATCGTCTGTGTGAGAAGGGGCAGTATCCCACATTAGATCTCTAGGGCACTGATGTGAACGGTTCGTTTTAGAAGCAACCACTGATGGATGCCGGAGGTGGGGGTGTGGTACATGCTCTCTGGACTCATGAGCCTGGAATTTGGGGGAGAAAGTAGACAAATGTGCGTGCTGTCCATTCCAGGTCCTCTGCTCCTGTGTCCCCACCATTGTCTAAGCCCCCAACCCTTCTCACTCAGACTATCCAACGGCCACTTCATTCCCCAGCCACCCTCCACCTTTGGTCCTGCTCTAGATGGCTCGTCCTGTCAAAACTCACACTGAAGCCACTGCCAAGGATACTGTAAAATGTGAGCTTCGTGCAGTTGAGGGGTAAATGTCTTTCCAGTGCTCGCAGCTACTCTGTCTATCTGTCTGTCTGTCTGTCTGTCTGTCCGTCCCTCCCTCCCTCCCTCCCTCCCTCTCTCTCTCTCCTGAGTGAATTATCTTGAGAAATGATCCTGTGCCCCCCCCACCATTCTTTTCCTGCCATGGGCTGAAGAATCAGGGGTTCTCTTTTGGACCATACACTGGCCTTTCAAATTGTGAGTCAATTTAAACTCCCTTCTTTTTCCTGTCACTTAGTCGCAGATAATAGCAATAGAAAGCAGACTAAGACAGTTTCCATCCAGAAGCCGTCATGATTTCTTACATGCAAAACCAGACTATAACACTCCTACTCTTACCCGCAACAGCATCCATTGGGAGCCTGATAACATCTCATCCAGGCCTGCAGCCCACATGCCAACCCCAGCCCTTGCCACTCTATTCTTGCAAAGATACACAATGTGATCCCTCTCACACATGGGCCTTTGGGTATGCTCTTCTTCTGGCTGGATGCTATTCCTCCATCTTCTTGTAAAGCTGACGCTCTCTGATCCTGTGTGTCTCAGACTCAGAGGCCCATGTCCCATTCATTTGTTCACATGATGGCTTTCTCCCCACCCTGAAGAATTCGCACTCCATGAGGTGAGGACTTTTCCCTTTCCAAAACATATGACATAGGCAGGCTCTACATGTACTCAAGGCCCAGTGGGCATTTATTGTTCATATGTTTGTTTATAAATGACTGCTGTGGTGACAAGTTCCTTATTTGCTCATATGGTTTTGAGCCACATTGAGACATGAGATGTTTTCAAGCATTCTCCATCCCAGCTTGGGAATGAACTCACCATGCAATCTTCACGCATCATCCCAGCCCCCTTCATATCCAAATGTTCAATACCTTTTGCTGAGACCCTGAAAAGAAAGAGAGGTCCCTTTTCCCAGCCCCAGCAGATGCTGTTGCATGCTTGGAAATTCACCAAGAGTGAACCTCTGCCTTTCTCTTTTCTTCACAGATGTGGGGTGGCCCAGCAGCCACTCAGCAGATATGACAGATATAGGTGATGCACACCATTTCCCACTCCTGATCCCACCCCAAGACAGTGAAAGCTGTCCCTTCATCACACAGGGACTCATTGCATGGACACATCCCCACAGGCTATGATGGTTTGTGAGCTGTGCTCCCTCAGACAAACCACTCAACATCTCTGGTCCTCAAAAAGATCAAAAGGGGCTGGCATGGTGGCACATGCCTTTAATCTCAATGCGGCATCCTTGCCACAAGCAAGTCCAAGGTATCAGGAAAAGAAAGATCAGACGTCCATCTGTTTGTACTGAGAATGCATGTGCTGCCTTTATTGCCGAGAGAGAGAGAGAGAGAGAGAGAGAGAGAGAGAGAGAGAGAGAGAGAGAGAGACTTCATTGCAAGTGCTAAGAGGTCTCTCCCTTGTAGGAAGGAGCAGCCTTATATACAGGCTTACAGCACAGTGGAAAAACCCCAGGTGGAAGAGAGTGTGTTTTCCTCCTGCTGGATGTTGATGTCAGAGGGTCAAGGCCAGGGCAGGAAGCCAGGACTAGAAAACAGGATGTACTTAGACTGGAAAACAGGATGGACTTGTTGACTGACCAGTGACTCACAGAGACCCCGTGGGGGCTGGGGAGGAAGGAAGCCAGCCCAGGGTTATCTCCCCCCCCCCACACACACACAGTACCCACAGAGGTTTCTAAAGCTGACAGCAGCTCCAGAC